ATTTATAATACTGAAAATCCATAAATGTACAACTTTGGTACACCTACCAACAATAGTTCACGCTATTAAATAAGAGCCACTCGGTATGCTAATTTCTGTTACGTGAATTTTAGCATGAACCTTGACATTCATAACAACGGAATTCATTCATTCACCCACACTGAAATTCAGCGAAGGGATGGCCACTGTGTAGGCGGGTGACGTCACAGCGTAGCCGAGCGCGGAAGTAAATGTTCACTGGAAACGTCATAAACTTGCGATATAAATGTTGAAGACTATTTTATATATCTTTTTTATTGTCTAAGCTTTTATTTTATTTATTTATATATCCTTTATTGCACCAGATAATTACAGGAAGGTTAATACGAAAGCAAATAAAACATTTAGTTCTTTTAAATGCTTTTTTATAATACTTTAATAATTAAAGTTTAAATTTTTAATCTTCACCATAGAATCTATATACTGAACTGGACAATAAGGAAAAAATATTAGTACAAAAATTATTACGTTCATAAGCGGCTAAAATCTTCTATATGAATAAATGATTTTTCATTTCATTTTATTTGAATCCCTAATAGAAAACTTTTTTTTTATATCATTATGACTAATTTAATCGCTTTGTGTAATTAATATTTTGACTCAACTGAATTAGTGCTAGTTGGTAATTTGTATTTCAACTTAAAAATGTAAAGTTACAAAAATTATTTAATAAGCAAAACACTAGTTTCTTGCTCGTCCTTTCTGTAATGAAACTTACGAATGAGATTAAATAATAAGTAGTCATACTTATTTTTTTTATTCTTTTTATTCAAAAGCACTTAAATTTAAGTTATTTTTTTTAATAATAATAATATAATAATGTCTCAGGACCATTCACACAGCTCCATCTAGTCCCGTGCTAAGCAGAGCTTGTGTTATGGGTACTAGACAACTGATATAAATACATGGGTACATTTTTTTTTTTTAAATAAATCATATTATACATAGAAAACACCCAGACTGGCACAAATTAATACAAATGTTTGTACCGTGCGCGGAATCGAACCCACGACCATCGGATAGTAAAGCGGCGTGCTATGCCACTTAACCACCGAGGCTGTCGATAATTTTAATATAATATCTTATATTCTATTCACTTTGGCCGGGTTCAAACTGAGCATGTATCTAAATATATATAACTCAAAGGTGACTGACGTAGTGATCTATCAACGCACAGCCCAAACCACTGGACGGATCAGCCTGAAATTTGGCATACAGGCAGATGTTATGACATAGGCATTCACTAAGAAAGGATTTTGATTAATTCTACCTCTAAAAGGATAAAACAGGGGATGAAAGTTTATATGAAACTTTGTCAATTTTAAACCGATCGGGCTGAGATATGCATCCATAAAGATACTATAACGATGGCATCCCCTAAGAAAGGAATTTGATAAATACCACCCCTAAGGGGATAAATTAACCCGAGTGAACCCGCGGGCAAAAGCTAGTAGTACATAAGTCTTACTCATTTCATTAATTTCAAAGAAGTTCTAGCCATTTAAACATCTTTGTTTCTACTAAAAATTTCTACCTGTATATTTCGCCATTTATTTTTAAACCACAAATAAATATATTTAGAATTTATATTACTTATTTCAATAGACTGTTAAAAAGCCGAAATTCTCCATTACTCTGTATTTATTCGTTGCCTGCTTTTTACGAAAAGGAAATATCTTTTTATTGGTCTTATAATCGATAACACAAGTATTTACATAGGTGTATACAATTTTTATGTTTTCACTAATGCGCCACCTACTCTATTTTTTTTTAAATACTCTCTTTCCAAAGGTTGTCTGTAAGAGATTGCATTAGCGATAAGACCGCCTTTTGTACTTAGTTTTTTTTTTGTTTTTAATTTTGTTCATGTCCTTTATATGTTGGTGCAATAATGTGTTATAATAATAATAATAAACACTTATTCCAGTGTTTGTTTGTGAATATTTTTCGTGGAACATATAATATACATAACTAGCTGTGCCCGCGCTTTCACTCGCATGAAATTTATAGCCTATATGTTTTTCTGACGTATAAGCTATATTACTGTAAAGTTTATTATATACTAAATATATTATATACATCTTTATCTTACTAATAGTATAAACGCGAAAAGGAGATGGATGCATAGATGGATGTTTGTTACTCTTTGACGCAAAAACTGCTGAACGAATTTTGATGAAACTTTCCAGTAATATAGCTTACTAGCTGTGCCTGCGGTTTCACTATATGTTATTCTGATGTATAAGCTAACTTACTGTAAAGTTTCATCGAAATGCGTTCAGTGGTTTTTGCGTCAAAGAGTAACAAACATCCATACTCACAAACTTTCGCGTTTATTATACTAATAAGATATATCAGAATAAAACATAGGCTATAATTTAAAAAGATAATAATTTGTGCGAAATCATTACATAGTATAAAACAAAGTCGCTGTCGCTGTCTGTCCGTCCCTATGTATGCTTAAATCTTTAAAACTACACAACGATTATAAGCTGGTTTTTTTAAATAGATAGAGTGATTCAAGAGGAAGGTTTATATATATAATACATGTACACCCAGGGAAGCCGGGGTGAGTAGCTAGTAATATATACTCGTACATGTATGTATCTTGTTCAAACAGAATGAAGTCGGAAAGGCCTCTTACTTAATAATAAAACATATGTTCTATAACATACATATGTACATAACATACTACAAAACATTATACTTGCGCCATTATATTGCTGAATAAGTAATGGTACTTTGGAAAGTTTCAGTTATGGTCCAATTATGGTCAGTTAGAATAAGGTACAAGAAGTTACAATAATGATCCTTGATCATATCATTATCATTATTATTACATAGAATAAAACAAAGTCGCTGTCGCTTACTGTTCGTCCCTAAGTATGTTTAAATCTTTAAAACAACGCAACGGATTTTGAGGCGGTTTTTTTTAATAGATAGAGTGATTCAAGAGGAAGGTTTATATATATAATACATGTACACCCGTGCGAAGACGGGGCGAGTGCTTAGTTTATATTATGAATGCGAATTTTTTTTATTATGGATGGTTTGTTACTCTTTCACGCAAAAATCCGCTCAGTAGTTTTGAGATTATCGCAATTATACGGACAGACGCGACGATTTTGTTTTATACTCGTAATAATAATAGGTGTGGTGTAGATGGGTACAATAATTTTAATAACTTAAAAAATACAACCCACTGATGATTCATTTTTTATTGTTTCATATTTTATAAAATGAGATAAATATTTTTAAAGTTTTATCCATTTTTAATATTAGTTTAGAAGTGGAGAGTTTTTCTGCTTTGTTCAAAATGCACTATAAAATTAACTTTTAAAACAAAATTTGTTTTCAAGTATAGTTACTGTTTTCATATATTAACAATGAGTTAGAGTCAAATTATAATACTTTATTTATTTATTTACATATACCTAAACACTTTTCCATGCCGGTTCAATTAGCATGCCTTTTCTTTTTTTAACGCATTTGTAAGTATGTTGTAAGTACCTACTCCAATCTATAAGACATAGTTGAATTTTCAATTTTTTTTTAACATTTCCACGGACTAATATTTTAATATAGTGCCACATTCCGGTGGTCGCATATTCAATTCCCGTACAATACAAACATTTCTATAAGTATGTCTGTTGGTATTGGTGTAATAGGTTTGAATTTTTTTTTTAAATCATGGGCACTATGCTACGACCAGTAGGAACAGAGCATCAAGAAAAATGTTACAAAAACGGGAGAAATTTATTTCTTCTATCTCTTCCTTTCTCACTCTCTTTCCCCTTTCTCTTTCTCTCTCTTTCTTTTATGTGACGCACACGAAATTGCTCAGATTAGTTGGTCTACTGTAATATCGATTAGTTTGCCGATTAATCACGAAGTATGCAATAAAAATAGAGCTAGTATACGATTCAAAAGTATGAAAATGCGAAACAACCAAATATCGATGGATCGGAAATGATTGATCAAGAGTAGACTGACAGATCCGTTTTAGGTTTATTTATCTAGGGTAAATGCCATTCCATTCTCAAGTGTATTACATTTTTTTTTATCTGGCTCATACAATCATAAAATGTATATGAAAATGATTTAAGACCTTATGAAAATCATTATGGCTTAATACATATTATTAAATAATTAGGTTTTCAACCGCATCTATACTACAACAATTTCTCTTTAAATAAATGGTATGTTTCAGTAATAAATACTGGCTTATTACCCATTCACTTAGAATTAGCATTCTTCTTAACAAAACCTGTCTCGAGAAACAATGAGTTGTCCTTACAAACTTCAGGTCGTATTTCACCTTCTTTAAGTTTTAGTTTTACAACATACCATAGTGTATATGCATCTTCAATGTCTAATATATACTTACACCAAAATTCATCAAATTTTAATCAACGGTTGTGTGAAAACAGAACAAAAACACAATCTAATTCTTAATTAAGTATGATATAATAAATGCGTTGATGATTTGATATATGATATAATTACGAGTATGTCATTAAAAACGAAGTGAAACTTTATTAAATATTAGAAATATTTTTAAAATAATCTGTACAACTTCACGCTATATATTTTACACAAGGATGAGCAGAAAGAACCGAGTATCATCCTTACATTTATCTGTAGCTAATTTGTTTTATGCGGATAAATAAAACTCATTTATATGACTTTTTTACAAAAACGAAAACGCTGCATTGTAAATAACTACCTCAATATCCAACGCAGTCGTATCTAGCAAACTATGTGTAACGCTGCACAAGCTTTATTCAATAATCAATAAGCAAGCGTATAGTTTTCTCTGACTAGAATTATAATAAATAAAATATATATAAAACAAATTGATAAATAAATGTTTTGTTATATCTTTAAAAGAACAATATTGGTATAATTGGTGCAAAAGTAGGTAGCGACGCTAAGCGTGTAAACGTGTAAATATACAGTACCTATATTAAATTCATTCCTCTGTCGGGTAAATTGGACACTACACTAAATTGACCACTTGAGTTTCACTGTATGCTTGCCACTGTCACTGCTAATGTTTTTAATTTTGGATTATGTAATGTTTAGTGGGTTGCATGGCGCGACTGAGGCGCACTGAGACCGAATGCAGACAGAAATGGCGGAGTGTTGCGCGCGCCGTCCGCCCTACGGTTAATAGGGAGTTTCACTAAAACGACACGCTTCAGCATTATATACAGTTTGAGAAATCACTATAATAAAGCATTATCTTGATGATTAAGGTACTATTATGTAGTCAAAACAAAATAAAAGTATAACAAAGCAGAAAACAGAAAGCTGATACTATATTGTCCTTAATAACTTATTTGTTTATACAGACGAGAAGTATCACGGCGCTCGCTGTACAAATTTAATTATGTATAAGTTAAGCTTGCCTTATGTACATCATTTCTAATTCCACTTTGTATTAACAAAATCTACCGCGCTCTTTTTTTTCATATTCCTGTCAAACTTATAATAAAGATCAAAATCATCATTATAAAATATTATACAACTAGGTATTACCCGCGCTTCATGCGCGTGAAATTAAGATAAGTACAATTTCTAAAATAAAAATAGCTTAAGCAAATCCTTATAACATTTTCAATTGAGTTTCTTGCCAGTTCTTCTCAATTGAATCTATATACCGAACTGGACGGTAGGGGAAAAAAATATAATGTAAAAACTTGACGTTCATAAGCGGCTAAAATGTTCTACATGAATAAATGATTTTTGAATTTGAATTAGCCATCTGCGAGCGTAAATCTCGTCAAAATCGGTCTAGCCGTTTCAGAGACCAGCAATAACAAACAGACAGAATAATAATAAAAAATAAAAATGAAGCTATTAATTTGAAATTACAAGTAGACGCCTCAATTTTATTTATTTCTATAGATTAATCGCAGTAACAGAATTCCACCTTTATCTAGACAAAAGGCTCACACTTTGTAACATTCAGCGTTACCCCACATCCCGTTGTTCCCCGTACATACTCAACCGTGATCGGTTGACTCCATTACCCCGTAGCCTTTCCAGAAGCTGCTACATTTGCCGAAAAACAAGCAATGGTTTACACAACGATACTAGCATTCGTGTAGTATTCCATTTATAGTACAAGAAGGCAACCCGCCGTGAAAAAAAATGTTGATTTTCTTGTACAAAATCTCTCATTCCGAAGTGCAGTAAGAAATTGAGCGTAGATCCTTTATAAGCCAGACTAATAAAGATATCAATGTTTAAATACAAGAATGTATGATAGAGATAGCACGATATTTCTCTTGGAATTAAATTTGGTGTATGATATTTCGTATATATGCGGCCTTTCAGGGTTGTTTGTATTGGTACGCTGCCTTTTGTCGGATCAGAGGGAATATTAAGTCGTTATTTATATTTTTAGACTGCAGGAAAACGATGTATCTGTTTTGTTGGCGAGTTGTTTTATATTTGTAATGTTATTGATATGAGTTTGTCAGATTATATTTTTTATGGGATGTTAATGGAGTGAGGGCACCAACGGTCTGCTCCTGCCTGCCTGCCTGGAGGATGATAAGATGAGGTCAGGTCAGTTAGCCAGTCATGTCAGTTAGTTATCACGATGATTTCCAGGGGGAAACGAGAGGTCAACCATGTCAGGTTGACCTCCACATATATATTGTTAGCAATGAGTTCACTAGCCCACATTACTAATAATCCCCTGCCAATTCCATTGGGGATCGAAATCACGACGGCCTGAGCCGATGTTCGAACCCCTAGAGGTGACTCGGACTAAAGTCGTATCCGTCAGGTAGGAGGTGAACTTCAGCCGCTCCATAACTACTTTGACAGGTTTGGAGTGCTATCTGCACTCGCCCCCTATCATTTGGTGAAGCTGTAAATGCCAGCTGCGGCCAACAACTTATGAATCGTTCAAAATAGAAAAATAAAAACTTAGGGATAGAGTTATTGTAAGGCATGCATAATCGCAAACTTTTAAATTTCCTTTTCTATAAAGCTATCTTAATTCTCTGGAATGACAACGCATGAGTGCCACATGGGTATCACATGCTAACGAGAGGTCCTTAGTGCTGTTCACGCATATAGACGACGCCACGATCAGGTAAGCTATAAAAGAGCAACAAGCAAGTTTCTTGCTCGTTCTTCATTTGATGAGACCGCTTTCCGAATGAGTGGTATATTCAAAATATAAATATGACTATACAAAAGTGTTTAAATTTAAGTTTATTTCAATAAATAATTTCCAATTTTCTGATTGAGTGGTACAAAAAATCATTATGACTATTCAAAATCTATTGTTCTAAATAATTGGCTATTCTATTCTATACAGTCAGCTTGTTTGTAATTATAATTACATAGAAAATAACAGATTTGCTTTTTTGTTACTCGTTAATTCTAATATTGCTAATGATTGAAACATTAACACAAAATCAAAATCGAAATATCTTTATTCATGTAGATCTATTAGAGACTATTATGATATATTATATGTCAAATCTACCGTCAGTTCGAAGTGCTGTCGTGCTGAGAAACTCAGCTCGTATCCCTCGTCTCGTCTCTTCAAATATTGTTTACAACAATACAGATTATTTTTTTTAATTCAAATTTGGAAGAATAGAGTGACCACCAGCACATGTTATTGCAATTTTGTCAAAAGCAAATAGTGTAATCAGTGTTCGTAACCCGAACAGACCAGTCCCCACAAGCTGCACCCGTTCACGAGTATGACGGATATTGTAAATTTTAATCTCTTTAAAATCAGAAACAATTGTAACAGCTTTATATAATCAAACAGGAAATGTACAAGCGTATTTTCTTGTTAGTTAATTCTGTGTACAGCTCCATACGAGCCATTTAACATGGCGGCAGCGACGCGTATCCCGAAATAAGGGGCTTAATAATCCTCGGGGTTTATATAAAATAATTCGGATTAGCCTTTTGTTTCCGTAATGCCCGTAGCTGACATTTTGTGTACTAATGAAACTATTTTTGGGATATTTTGTCTATAAATACTTAAATGGACTTTGTTTTTAGGATTACAAATAAAACTCTAAAACGTAAATTTATTGAATATGTGAGTTTTAACGTCCGTCTAACTCTATTGACGACCTCGGTGATATGGCGGTTTGGCACACCGCTTTAGTTCCGATGATCGCAGGTTCGATTCCTCGCACGGTACAAATATTTGTATTCATGAGTATGATTGTTTGTAACGGTATAGTTGTTTTTTATGTATATTATATATGTATTAACAAAAAAAACATATATATAAGTATTTATATCAGTTGTCTAGTACCCATAACACAGGCTCTGCTTACCTTGGAACTAGATGGCGCTGTGTGAATTGTCCAGGGTTATGTTATTATAGTATAATGAATAATGGAAAATCATTATTCATTATACTAAATCGTTTCTAGTTTTTAATATGTTGTCATTTATTTATAATGAAAATTATAAAATATTATTTGTCTTTGCAAGAGGGAATTTTTTTTTAAAATAGGCTGAATAATTATCAGTTTAAGACTTTATAGAAAGTGGTACGTCTCTCTGTCTACCAAATTTCTGCCGTACAGTTATTTATAAGCTGTATTTCAGTTGAAGGAATCGCCGTCCTAACCCGGAGTGAGGGTCATGGTTGTTTAAAATTTGCTTGGTTTATTATGCGAGGCCCATGCAAGAGCGAGACCCCCTGCCCTGCCCTGTTTGCCACCCCCTAAAGCCGCCACTGGTTGAAGGTACCGTAACCGATACGATATTGAAACCTTCAAGAAAAGAGCTTATTCCTTTTTAAAAGGCCGACAACGTACTTGCAATTCCCTTGGTGTTGCGGGTGCTCATGGGCGGCGGTAATCACTTACCATCAGGTGAGCCGCATGCTCGTTTGTCCCCTGTGTTATAAAAAAAAAAAGGTTGAAGTGGCAGTGAAATTACTAGGTAAATATTCAGGCATAAAATTTTAATCCTTCGAAATGACATAGGTTTCCACTGACGTACATGAAGACGTCATGTCAGTGGTGCTATATTATGTTGAGATATATAAGAGACGATTATCACTTACCATCATGTGGCCGTCAGCCTGTTCGCCATTGCAGTTACCTATATAAATAAACTATTAAATGGTGTATCATACCGTGAAAGATAATTATATCTACAATTATCAATAGATGTTTATTTATTCATGCTGCACAGTTCGCGATCTGTGATTGAACATGTAAAAAATACCATTCCCATCTGTATAACATTGAAGAAAAAATTTAACGAAATCTCTAATCTGCATAACATTTCTAATCAAGAATCCTGAACATAACTTACTAATTTCATTACTAAGTCCCAATTTATAACCAAAATATTTGATACAAAGTTTAGCTGTAGATTTATAATTCGGTTTAATTGTTATATATGTACTCTTAAACTAATTAAATTGTAATTACGACAATTTTAAACTAACGCAACGTCTACTTCCTGGGAGCAATTTTTTTTTGGACTTGTTGCATGTAAAATTAGTAAAAACAAAGCATTCCAAGTCGGTACCCTGATTTTTTTGGTTCTCTTTATCCTTTAAAGGATCCCTGGAAGAAAATATATAATTTTCATACATGGACTTTGACACTAAAGTGCACTTTGACATTGCATACCGGTTTTTTTATTATTAATATGTTTTACGGCTCTGGATACAAGTCCTTTTTAACCGGCTTTATGAATGAAGTGTGTATATATATATCAGAATTCAGAATACTATCAAGATTCTACTAATAAGACAATGGCTGTATAGGCCTTTTGCCTTTCCCTGGAAGTAGAAAATATGAACCAAAAAAAGTTAAATTAGACATCTGTCACTGTCAGGTTAACTGTCATTACTGTTATGTCATTCGCTTCTCACTATCTATCCTGTGCTTAAATTATAATTTTAAACTCATGTTTTATTTATTAATCAACTTATTTTATATCTCATATTATTAAAATGAATTAATAATCTTCTAACTATGACTACTCAATACAAGAAATTTACTAGACTCATAGCTAAATGGCCTGTTGACAGCACCAAAGGTGATAGGTTAGTACATTTTTTAAGAAGAATTATAACTTTAATAAGATTTACTTAACGAGTCAGGGTTGTTTCTTTTCAATGTCATTTATTTTCACAGAGATCTCGGGAAATTTATAAGAGATAAAGTGAAAGCGGCATTCGAAACTACAGACAAACAAAATCTAGATTCCGAGTTTTGCAATCAGCAGTACAACTCCCTAAACAAAATAGCGGATAATTATTATAAAAATAAATACAAACGTACAAGAACTAGTACAGCAACCGGCCTTACTACTGAAGAGTGCAACGTGATACTCTCCAGTGAGGTTTTAGACTATTTAAAAGAAGAAAACAAAGGTTTCTTCCGTAAAGTATTTAATTAAAACAAAATGTATTTCAAAAATCTATATAATACTGTATTTATTAGGAAACTGTCATACAAACAGCTTGAGTACAAAGACCATGTCCCTGTTATGTTAAAAAAAGCCATAGAATACCTCAATCCTAAAGATGATGAAGTTTTCATCGATATGACATTTGGAGCAGGCGGTCACTCAAGAAGAATACTAGAATCGGCAAATTGTAAATTAATTACTTTAGACAGAGATCCGACTGCATATGAGAAAGCTAAAAATCTGGCAAAGGAATACCCAAATCGTGTTGTCCCACTTCTGGGAAAGTTTAGTGAACTACCATCTCTTTTGACAGCAGAAGGAATAAATCAGTCTAGTATAGATGGGATATTATTCGATTTTGGCTGCTCATCGATGCAGTTAGATACAGGAGAAAGAGGATTTTCTGTCAGCAAAGATGGGTATTTAGATATGAGGATGGATGGAGGGCGGGACCCAAATCAGATAACTGCTAGAGAAGTACTCGCAACAGCCGATGAACATGAGCTGTATAAGATATTTAAGATATATGGAGAAGAGAAGAAAGCTGCTAAAATTGCTCAAACTATAATACAGGCAAGGTACATGATAAAAAATATAGATACAACTAAAGAATTAGTTGACATTGTTAACTCCTGTTGTCCAGATGAAGTTAGGTTGGACAAGTTACAACGACCTCAATCAAATGCCACAAAAGTTTTCCAAGCATTGCGAATATTTGTAAATAACGAGTTAAACGAACTAAATTATGGCATTGTACTTGCTAAATACTATTTAAAATTGAATGGGAGACTTGTAACTATATGTTTTCATTCTTTAGAGGATACAATTGTAAAACGGCACATAGGTGGGAATACAATTAATGAAGTAGCAAATCCAGTACCATTAAAGTATCTCAGTCCATTGTTAGTGCAAGATCAGGACACAATAAACGAATTCCTTGATACTCCATGGAAACCACTAAATAAACATGTGGAAGTTCCTACTGATGAGGAAGTTGAAATAAACCCCAGAAGTCGAAGTGCTAGGTTGAGAGCAGCAATCAAGATAAAATAAATCTGTGTACATAATTTAGTAGATTAGCTGTTGGTTGCCTTGTGAGAATGTAAATATAGCCGTCACTTTTATAGAATGCACTGAAAATAAATGTGCTAGAGAAATTTATTATTTTTATTTCTTTTATATAGGATTTTACCAAATGATACGCAGTTCCTTCTACAGGTGTAGCATTAGAAGACTTTTTTTGTAAATACATGTATAATATAGAGCACATCCAGACCGTTACAAACAATCATACTCGTGAATAAAATTGTTTGTACCCTGCGAGGAATCGAACCCGCGACCATTGCAAGTAAAGTAGCGTGCTTAACCACTAACCCACCGAGGTCGTTAGTGGTTAAGCACGCTACTTTACTTAATTCTTGAACTTTATCATTAGTTGACTTTTATACCCCTTAGAAACCATCAATTTTGGAGTGATGTAATTATTATTACACTCTAGCACAGATGATATTTCCTTTATGTTATACTTAATTTTATTATAACAGAATAATAAACCCTAATACCGTTACCCGTTCATATGTCCTACGCATAATAAGGTAAACGTCATGTTCAAACTTATTTTGATAGATTGAAAAATAAAAAAGACATTAAATTATGCTTTGATTTATTAATTTTCTACCATTAAACGTATTGTAACTAATACTAATTTAGGTGTACTATGCATTTTGTGTCTATAATCCAAGCACTATAATTACAATGTAATTAATTACACAAAACATTACTGCATGGCTTAAAATGCAAAACGAAGTGATTAAATTCTATTGACAAAATAGGGACTAGATAACTACATATTTAAATTCTGTACAAAATAATTTTTCAGTATTAATTTCTACATTCTAAATGGTAAGTTTTTAAACGAACTAACCATATTTTACTCTCAATAGAATTGGAATATACATTACAATAATAAATGTAATTAATTTAAAAATATAACTTTTCATAAACCTAGTTTTATTATATTACATTTTTTATTAATAAAAAGTAGAATGCGAGAACATAAGTTATATCAGATAACAACATATACGCTTTAAAATATAATATTCCGATTATGACCCAAACATTATATTTAGATATATCTCTTTCAACAATTGAATAAGTGTTAAACATATTTAATACTCAGTAATAACGATATACAATATCGTTATAGCAAAACTTCAAAATGCCATTGCACTACTTTAATAAAACAAAAACATCCCCACAGCTGGAATGTGGCAAAAGGTACGGGTAGCGTGTTTGATGTTTTTAAAAATGGCAGTGAATGAATAAATGATAATATTTAAAGAAAAAACAAATAATGATTTATACAGCACATAAAAAACTGTTAATTTGTTATAATTTTTTTTTTTTTTCCCATATTCGTCCATCTCCTTTTCAGTGATGGAACAGGCAAAGATCCTTAGACCGTACAGCCTAGTCTACTTTTAAACTTTTATAATTTTAAATAAAATGTCTACCTTTGATTTTTTTAATACTACGAAGGTGGCAAACAAGCAAAGGAACCATCTGATAACAAATGATAATAAAAATCTTATTATAATATTACTAAACTTCCCACCGCGTCTTAGCCAAGGTTAATCATAATTAACTTAAATTCAGTGCATAATTTGGAAAATTACGACGATACAGAGGCAAACGGCGACTTTGTCTTATATTAATTATAGATAAATGTGAATGGTAATGTTGTAATCTTAATTAATTTTGTACCACAGATTATATACTAATTTGCATACCAGATACAATATATTTATTCAAATTCAGAGGACAGAGTATTATATAATGGCATCCATCACCATACCTATTAGTAATTAACAATAAATTTATTTTCATTTAATAAACTAATATAACAATATCTTCTAGCATACGCAAGCAATACAGGTGCAACCCTTACTATTAGTGTGTCAAGAATAGATACTCTATTTATTTCAGGTGCTTTTAACTATTGGTGTACCGAGAATAGATTCTGTCTTTATTTTTATAGCCTGAGGGCAAATGTGCATGTGGCTAACCTAATGGCAACTGATTACATATATAAGCACCTGCAATACAGGAGAATCTGCAGTTGTTATATGTAATAAAACACCACATCGTACTTACTTGTACCAACTATACAATTTGATTTAATATACTCTAAGATCTATACTATAACAAAGTCGTAACAAAAATATTTATTTATACATAAAGTATTTTCGAATCAAATATCCATATACGGAATCGTTTTTATTTCCATATCTTTATTATTTCTTTGTTGTACAATAAAACTTGTACAAAAAGCAACTTTAATATCGTCTGGCGAACTTTAAAATACCAGTTAACATTAAGTAGTTGGAAATAAACAGGAAGCGTCATGAGTGGCATGAAGACGTACGATTTAAATATTAGGTACTACTGAAATGTGTTAAATTGTGTTATTTCTAAATAGCTACCTATACACGTACACTTTTACACGCACGATACAGCCTTCACGCGTAAGAGTGTACATTTAAACATAAACAAAGAGAACTAGTAATAGCGCGCGCATTCCCGCGTCCTTGAATCGTGCGTGCTTAAGCGTCATTTTGTAATAAACAATTATCATTGCAAAATGGCGGACATCTGACTATAGAGCAGAAATATAATTATAAATTTATTGATAATTTATAAATGTAAACCGTGTCAAGGTAAATAAAATCTGAGCTAAAATAAAATTTTTAAAGAAAGTGAAATGACATAAAACTTACTCGCAAAAGTGTGATCACAGAAAATAGTTAAATGCAATCACGATTGAGCGCACTGGCTTTCTCACTGATCGCGCGTGAAAGAACGTGTCGTGTACAGGCAAGCTTATAATGTGTGTAAGTCATATAGCAGTTGATATGAGTTCAAGTTCTATACCAACTTACTAATATTTAAAATATCTAAATGCAGAATTTTTCTTTTACATTCTGTGTCTCACAATTTTTACTTAATAGAGGGATTTTTTATACAATTATGCTGATATGTTATGTACGGAGTTATAAAAATAGACTGTGTTTATCCTATTTCATTAATGGGTCCTTAGAGGTTAAAAACAGAAGCATAAAATTTTTAATATCTTCATCACTTGCTATATGAGTAATTAATTATAATTCAAGAAGCTTAAAACCAATTATGCCATGTTATTGCAACATGGCAAGCCAATAAAATACGATCTTTAAAACGGCAACCCAGTCATGGTTAATCCTAATAGCATAAGGGACAACCAATACATCAGGCTTACCTGATGATAAGCTATTACTATCGTCTTGAACACCTGCTAAATTGCAGGTACCTACAATTCCTCTGGTGTTACAGAAACGTATATTTATTTTTTTGAATTTTCAACTCAATCAGTTCTGATATATGCTCCAGTGTTGAGTGTTGAAAAATAGTGGACTTTATCATCTCTTTATAATATTATTTCGCATCTCTTTCTATCAGTTACTCCGATTGAGGTGTAAGTGGAATAGAAGAGAAAGAGAATCATCATAAGATTACATATTATGGCTTATTAAATATTATTATATATTGTAATATACCTAGACATGTTAATTTAGTTTTAAACTTCTTGTCGTTCTACTAAAGTGTTACTTTTCACACAGTAAATAATCGGTTATTTATTTAAGCAATTCAGTAGAGTATTATCTATATAAACATTTCTTTGAGTTCAAATAAGGTGCATGCATTGATTGATTTGCATGGAAGCTAATCAAAATAAACCTGATTAAACCTCGTATCATTGATTTAAGTCAATGATTAATTCAATTAATATTTAATCAGTATATTTCATTAATCATGCGTCATATTGTCTCATCAATAAATATCATAAGTCTCAAACTCATGTCGAAATACATTATTTATTATTACATCCACTTTCAACGTGTGTTTTGGTGTTCATTCAAAGCCGAAATTTTAATAATCTACGATACACATACATTATATATATATTATGGAATTAGGTATTATTTTGCGGAAGTTTCATTACTTAATGAATTTATATTTAAGGTATAAAAATATATAATTAATAAGAAAGGGTGCATATATTTTATAACATTATTGCATATACACCAAATAGTGTTACCATAAGAAAAAATCATGCCGTTATTTTAAAATAATATTGTTTGTATTCCTAAAATATGAAAATAGTACTGATAAATAACATCTTTATTACTATATATTTTATATTTATATTATTGATTGTACATTAACACGTAGTACATATATTGTATATGCACATGTTAAAAAAATGGCGTTTATTAAAACAGGTAATTTTCTAATTAAAAATAAAATAAACTTGTGTAATTTTTTCGACAAGTATATATTGCAGCTCCGCCTCTCTCCAGTACTTTATAAATCGAATGACAATACTTTCGCTCAACAATAGCTCTTAAATATTAACCTCCATATTCATAAGACCTAAAGCCTCCAATTAACTATTGTGTGTTTTATCGCCTTTTTTTAAATCAAGAAAATAGCTTCAAAGAAAAGGACAAATCAACAACAGACCAAATAACCTTCAATAACTGTAATCCACCACTTAGTATTAATAATACCCCGGCCTTGAGTCTATACAAATACACTTAGTAAACCGTGGAAGTACAGTCAACAAAACAGTCTGTATCCTTAAACACTTGGAAGGTGTGACGCGTATCGTCATAACTTTATAGCAAACTGTACGTTGATAGTATAGGATCCAGTGCACCCTTACTGCCCTCGATCTTTGTCCTGTTATGTTCTGTTGACAGACGATAGTACGTTGGCCTTTGCCCGGTCGGTGGCGGCCGCTGCTGCTTCTCGCATCTCCTTGAGCGTGTGCGTCATGGGCGTCATGGTGTGCTGCGAGGGAACCTGCCTCGGGAACATGCTGTGTAGGACGTGGTTGAAGCCATTAACCTGAAAAAAAATTGTTTATATATTTTTATAGGTACATAATTATGTACTGTTACGAAGTAGGTCGATTTTAAAAGAACTGTGTAAATATTATGAAGTCTTAAGTGAGGATCAGTGACAGACTAACTTTTTCATTCGTGAGTAATTGGAAAGGAACGTAAGAATTAATATTGTCTTAAGAAGACAGTATGTTAAAGAGAAAGTTAACAACGACTTAAGTCGCTGGAAGACCTGTGTTTGTCATATAGTAACAGTACGTAATTGTTTATATCTGCGCTATCATCCACGTGACCATAATTGACCAACACAAAAAAACAACATACATTTCTTAAAAGCGTTAAAATTTATATGGCGTATATGTACGCCATATAAATTAATAACGCTGTGTGCATATGTATGTAATAACGCTATTAAGAAATAAGTGTTGCCAGGTTAGCTAGGAATTTTATAATATATAATCTCAAGGTATATAAAGATTGAAGAAAGAAAATTTCGTGATGAATTCCTAAACTACTGAACCGAATTTAAGAAATTTTATATGTATACTGACAAGAGTGGCCAAGAAATCTATATTTTTTGACGTAATTATATCTTTTTTATGATTCGGCATTAAGAAATACAAACAACCCTAAATTCACCCTTCTACCGTCTACGCCAATTATTAATATCTATATTAATTTATATGGCAAATCAACATTTGCCGGATCAGCTAGCTAATAATAATGCTACAAGTTTATAAATAGATGTTTACAAAGTACTAAATATAGAACTGTAACTAATATGACCATCTGTCATAGTCACTACCTATACTGAGCCCCAAAAACAACATTGTGTTATATCAATATTTTGCCCAATTTTTTTTATCATGCACACACACATTCAAAAAAGAATGTTTATGTTTATTTCTAAATGTGTGGCTTGCAGTATGATTAAGCGATTATTTCGTGAAAACAAACGTCAATCATAGTCTTAAGATAATTCGTGAGATATACTGCATAATACTCGAGTGTGCATAAACAATGTTGATAATTGCTATCTAATCTCTTTATAGTACATGATAGGTCAGTTTTAGGTCATGATAATTAATGACTATTATAATTATCTAGCATTTTGAGTTAAATTTTTATTTCTTCACAAATAAGAATTATTTTCTTCTAGCTGCTCCGCGCAACTTCGTCTGCATTATATTTCGCCCAATTTCCATAATATCTTTTTTAATTATAGTCTATATGTTATTCTGATGTATTAAGCTATACTACTGTTAAGTTTCATCAAAATCCATACAGTAGTTTTTGGGTGAAAGAGTAACAAACATCCATACTTACAAACTTTCGCATTTATAATATTACTAGCAGTATACGCGACTACGTCCGCGTGGAATTTAATTTAATTTTTCTAAAATAAAAGTAGCCTAAGTTACTTCTTATTTCATCATCTACCTGCCAAAAAAAGTCCCGTCAAAATCGGTCCAGCCATTTCAGAGATTAGTAGGAGCAAACAGACAAGACAGACAAAAATTGTAAAAAATGTTAATTTGGTGTATGTATCGTATTTATATTCATATTCACGTATGTAGTAAAAACGGTTATTTCAATATAACAAACAAACACTCCAGTTTTATTTATATGTATAGATATATAGATTAAGATTAGCATACTTGTACTTATACGACAACACTCTACAAGATTTTTTTCCGAGGTGAACATTGCAAGAGGTGGTGCAGAGGTGTACCTGTGAAATATTTCTACCGCCAAGCAACTTGTATTAGCCAAGCTGTCTCGGTTGAAGGGCGGGATATGACAGAGAAATTTCAGGGTATATACATACCTGCATGGCAACTTATGTCCGGAATGGCAACGAGATATTTCATTTATACATGCATAGAGATAGACCACCGAAGCCATCTCAAATACCATTTATATTTAAACTAGCTACTCGCCCCGGCTTCGCCCGGGTGTACATGTATTATACATATAAACCATCCTCTAGAATCACTCTATCTATTAAAAAAACCGCTTCAAAATCCATTGCGTAGTTTTAAAGATTTAAGCATACATAGGGACGGACAGACAACGACCGCGACTTTGTTTTATACTATGTAATGAATAATACAATATTTCCATACCATTTGTGTACAATTTTTCCTGAACCTCTCAACGCCGAATGCCCGTATTGCTCGTGAGAAGCCGAATACTTGCGAGTCGATCCACGCTGACCGGCGCGCGATGGTCTGTCCCGGACCCGCTGACCGGTACTCCACCCGTTCCACCACACTCTGATGAAATAAAACATGTTTGTTTGTTTGTAAACCTTTATTGTACAATAAAATTACAAATAAAGGGACACAGTTGACTTAAAGAATAAATGCGTACAATGGCGGACTTATTTTACTACTAAAGAGGACATTAAAGAGGGATAGGACTATTATGGCGTGCCTTAGGAGAGGCCTATGTCCAGCAGTGGACTGTAGTGGGTTGATGACGAGGACTATTAAAAAGGAATTTCTTCTAGTCAACCTTTGAGTTACTGAGAGGAATTGTAGAGTGGTGGTAATAGGTACAATAAATAATACGCGTTTCTTTGCTATTGCATATATATACACGAAAATAAACAAAGATATATAAATTAATATAGTATTATATAAATAATAAGAATATATAATATAGAATATAATTTAATACCATAATTATCCTGACGGTCCTAGTGTTTACCCAAAATTGAATTATATTAATTTATAATACATCTATACAAATAAATAAAATTTAAGTTAATTTCAAATTAACAGTTTCTCACTGAATGCATATGAAAGTATATACGGTATTTTTATCAAAAAATTGTTTCAACAACATTTGTCTGTCTGTCTGTTGGTTTTTGCCAACCTTTGAAACAGCTGGACTTTCACTCGCAGATATGTCATAAGGAATAGTTTGGGCTACTTTTATTTTCTTAATTTTAATTCGTATTAATAAAAAAAAGAAAAGTTCAACGCTGACGAATCCACGGGTTTAGCTATAGACAATATAAGATAAGTTTTTCGTAAATAAAACTTCTTTTGACAAATATAAGATATAATAATTTAACTACTTAGTACTGACACTAATTTTAAGTTAAGAAAAAGACTCGCAATGTATTTTAAAATATTGTCAAAAAATATTTTAAAAGAATAAACTAAGCGAAAAAATAATCATAGTAGGAATAATGGTAAGTAATACGTTTACGATGGAGACGGATAAGCCAGCCATCATTGGGCTGAGTCGTATTTTTGTGGCGGCCAAAGAACCTTCTAACACTAAAACCAGTCTAGACATCATATAGAGCGTGACTTGCTCAAACTACCTATTAGATTTATCATTATATGAAAATTAATTACTATTCCACTATCTAATCATTACCTACTCCTGATAACAGTCACTAGGCACTAGGAAATTATATTTATAACAGGTTTATCGTTCTGATAATCCAGTTACGACCTAAGATCTTCTGCGCTACAGATAATATAAATGGATGTACCAAAAGCCTACAAAATAGTGCATTCAGAAAAAATATTCCAAATTCCACAAGCTACTTTGAATCAAAAACAACCTTCCTACAAACGAAATAGAGTACAATCTGCTTTATAAGTCACTCAGCCTGTTTGTTATAGAAAAATAAAAATCAATCTTTGTCAGAGGCACAGTTAACTCATCATACTGCCTAAATGCTACCTTCATATGTCAAAGGGAAATATGTAAACAGTAGCCGTACGTCTAATTAATCAATACATTTGACCTTGATATACATCACATTGTCTTCGTCATACACAAGTGACGTAGGTGTGTATAAGCAAGACGGAAGATAGCACGCTCTTGTTTAGCAGTTTTTTATCAACTTGGCCACTGTGATAAGGTTATAACCGAGATGGATGACAATGCAAAAGGTTATACGAGTAAAAAATAATTAAAATATTGTGTTCATAACGCTATCTCAATTGTCTGTCTATGGACTTTAGTTTTGTAAATAGATAGTTGTAGCAATAAAAATATTAAATTATATTAATGGGATATAAAATTTTATGACGTATAAAGTATTACAAACAAGATAAATGTATAGAAAATCAATGTGATAAATTCCAAAAGAAAATAATCGATACGCGTATTTTGTAGGTATTTGGAATGGCATATAAGCTGATGGTAAGTGGTAACTGTCGCCTATACATACGCCTATACATGAACGACACTACGAATAACATGTTATCCTGTGTTGCCAGTGATAACACTTATGCATTGCCATTTCTAAAGAGTATGGCGTTATTCCTACATATCCTGTAATTTCACTGCCTTATCTTCACTTCAACTGAAACACAGCTACTTTGTAGTTAAATAGATCAGACTGAGATACACACACAGACGTGTTTTAGTCTACTTCGTAAGATCTCCCTCCGATCGTTCCGTGAAATGGGGATCTAAATTACGACCGACTGAGCGGAAGTTCGAACTTCTAGCGGTGTCCTTAGACTAAAGTCGTATCCATCAAGCAGGAATTGGCCACCAGCCGCTTCATAAGTCCTTCCGCGGGTTTTAAGTGTCATATCCACTCGCCCGCTATAGTTCGGTGAAGCTGTAAAGGCCAGCTGCAGCCAATAGCATTACAATGATTCATAAATAATGTTTTATAAAATTCTTACCATTACTTTTGTATATCCTAAATTTCTGGTATATGTCACTAAAATCTTCTTCTCGGGATCCACAATGCTTTCCTCAATAATTTTGACTGACTTCGCGTTGAAGAACCTTTGAAAAATGTATACAAGATTTTAAAATAGTAGTTAAACAATCTGAAAATTTTACAAGTTCTCAATTATAAATTGACGGTGCCGGCGGTCTAGCGGTTTAGCACACCGCCTTACTTCCTATGGTCGCGGGTTCGACTCATGAATACAAACATTTGTATTAATGAGTATGATTGATTGTATCGGTCTGGGTGTTTTCTATGTATAATATGTATATATTTACGAAAAAAATCTAGGTATTTATATCTGTTATCTAGTACCTATAACACAAGCTTTAGCTAGCTTACTTGGTTCTAGATGGTGCTGTAAGAATTGTCCTGAGATTATTATTTTATTATTAAATTTAAATTGTATCTGTGAGGTTGTAAAATAATCAAGTCTTCACAAATGTTATCCCACATCAGACAGTCTGTAGTCTGATAAACTTCAACTATATATTTTTTTGACATTAACCAGATTTAAACTCACTACTCTTCGGCACAAATTTGGCGAAGTAACGACTAGGCAACTACGTTCTCAAACTACATAATAGCAAACATACCTACTAATAAAATGAAAATACAGCTGGGATTATTTACAAGATGTACAAACAACATCTGTACATGTAGTCAGCGCACGATACACGGCACAGAAATGACATAAAAGAGATGCGTCATTTTTTTATTAAATCCTATGACGTCACTACTACGTATTCTTAAAGTTTTTCCGCATTTACCAGTAAATAGATTTACGAGCGATATTTTTTAATATGCAGTGCATATACCAACAGTAGCATCACACAGTACCATGTTATCTATCAAACAAATGGAAAAATATGTGCATGTATTTTTATTCGAATCAGGTATTTAAGGAAGTCTATTTGAGTACTTAATGGATTTATATTATTTTATTTTATTCCGCTACTAATAGCATGTGTGAGACCACAAATATTCAGTACGGAAACCTGACAACCGCTACTGGAAGCGTTATGACCTTCTCTATTAGTGATTAAATTCTGACTGTTATTGAAATTGTAATTATGGGTGTAGAGTTAACAACGGTCGGAATTTGATCACCAATGGTATATATAAAATGAACAATTCGAAATCACTATGCCTACACTCTTGTGTGTTTTATTCATACCTACAACGATATACTTAAATTGTAAAATATCCTAACAAATTCACTTAATGTACACCTCAATGTGGAAGAGGACAGTGACTTCCGAAACACAGTTATTTTCTATACCTACCTCAGAAGTCAGGGACTTCATACATTATTTATTTGTATAAAATATGTGAAATAAATAAATTATTATTATTATTAATTATCTTTTTACATATATATTTATACGTATATTTTTATATACAGAGGCATAATACCCTGTTACGACATATACTAAGATAATAATACCACACTTTGATTAGTGCTCTAAATGATGTATCCTGTAGGATAAATAGAAAAGGAAAGGAAATAATGTATTATTTCCTAGTAACGTGCGATGATATAAAATAAATATATTATCATTAACTTTTATTTATATACTTATACAACTTTAATGCACATAATTAAAAAGTACGGCTTAACGCCTTGCGAATCTCCAAGTCCACAAATAAATAAATAAAAACAATGGGTGGTTATTTATATTTAGTTACAATATTTTATTACTTCTAAAACTTAAATACCTTAAAAAAAAGGGTAAATGAATATTTACTTGTTACTACATAAATTTAGATTTGATAACCTATCGATTTTCATGATAAAAAAAAACAAAGAAGTAGGTGTATATTTTTATCTGACAAGCCTCTTGGGGATAAAAGCATGAACATATTATCGATGAACATATTATCGAGCACAAATAATTTATGGTAAATAAATTCACTCAACGTATCGACTAGGTTGCACTAGCCAGTTACAAGTTCATTAAGTGTTAAATTATTTGTGTTAAGACCTGACTTAATATATATAAATATATATACTAGCTGTACCCGTGACTTGAATTTAACTTTAGTTTTCTAAAAGAATTTTTCTAAAATAAAAGTAGCCTAAGTTACTCCCCATTACATCAGCTACCTGCCAAAAAACGTCCCGACAAAATCGGTCCAGTCATTTCAGAGATTAGCCGGAACAAACAGACAGACAAAAATTGTTTGCAACATTCATATGCATGTGGTAAAAAACTGTTATTTCAATATTACAAACAGACACTCCAATTTTATTTATAAGTATAGAGTATAGATAAGAGTAAGCTCAGATATGATGGCTAATAGAGAGTTGGAACCGTTCGAATTGGACTGGGGATCGGAGTGGAGATTTGAACTCACGACCTCTTGGGTGTAATTCAGGGTAGTAAACCACTAGGCCATTATACTCTTAAAATAATAATATTTGTTAACCGCGAGTGTATAAAGTAACTAAAGATTTCTTATCTTAACGATGTACCCTATACTACAATATAATGCGATCTGACTAATTTTTAGACAAAATAACGCGTCGTAAATTTGTAATGCAAACATTTTGCCTATGAGCAAGCTTTGTGTAAGTCCTGGTAATTATTTTTATAGACATTTGAAAGATTATAAAGTACATTATATTCCTTGAAAATACATACTTATCTTGTTTATGATTCATATTTATCAAAAAAACCTAGCACTAATGTTGTAGATATGAAAAGTGAAAAAAATATTTACCACATCAATGTTATTGTGTTATTATACACATACAAAATATAATATAATACTGTACAACATTTCTATACAAATATCTTAAGAATTGTGAAACCAGACATTTAACAGAATGGTTCCAGGGGTAACTGTGTGTGTGGGGAGACGAAATTGACATGGTGTATTGCTAGCAATGTAGACATTAGTCCACATTACTAACAATGCCCTTGACCTTAGAATTGTTTTTGTTGAGGTTTAACATGGTTTGTGTAGCCAATCATTTCAAGAATCAAACCTGCAACCATTGGAAGTAAGATGGTGTGGTAATCTGCTGAACCACCCAGGTGTTTAGTAAATAGCGAAATATATATTTTTAGTTATATATCTATAATATTACCTTTCACCCCATTTGGGTACTCTATTTGTTTTCGTAAGCACTCTCTTTGTGTGGAGGCATCCATCTTTAATCTGTCGACTCAAAGTATCCTCTGATAACACATGTGTACTGTAACAGAAAATATTTATTTTATGGCCTTTACTACACACGGATGATATATAAATACACATATATAAAAAGTAGATGTAGAAAAGGGATATATATAAAGGGATACACATAAGCAATGTTAATGTTCTACTCGCATAAATATTTTTTTAATTTCAATTTAGCATTATGATCTTATTATTGTACCAAAATACATAATATTAGTATGTATATATTTGTTACAGTAATATTGTAAGTGTAAAAGTGTGTAAACTGTGGTAAATTTTACTCCTAACTAATTAGAAAGATTTACATGAACTATGGTCCACAGATTAACAATAACCTTAATTTATACAAAACAAAACTATATAATACAATTTACTTAGTATCTTCTACTAGAGTTTATTATTATAATTTTTATGATAAAGATTTGAAGATTATGGAATGCATTGAAAAATAAATAAGTAAATACAAGCTGTATGTTCTTATGATTCATAAATATTATGTCAAGGTTATTTACCAAAACAAAACAGCCAATTGAAGTAATATTTATAAAAAATATTTTTATATTAACTTTGCTGTTTTATAAAACAGAATTATATATAATATATATGTCAGTATACATAATCCAAATGCTTTGTTTAATTCTTTTTATAAGCATCAATCATCTACTCAAAAAAAAATTTTATCATTACTACTATATGCAAGCAAAATAAGTTGTATATTATAAATGTCTTTGCCATCTAAATTCAGTTTTATAATAAAAACAATATACAGTTTTATTCAGAAAAAATATACAGTGATTTATTAGAAGGTCTTTTTTTTCCAGTCAACTGTTCAAGGAGAGCTGCCTTTTTGTCATTTAAAATTATGAATAATTCATTGTTAAACATCACAATAACAACAGTCTATACTAACTTATCTTTATTAAGTAATAAGTATATAGATTAAATATACCTTTGAGGATTGGGATATCTTTTCCAATAGCCGCATGCAACTTGATCCCAACTAAAGTTGAAGGTCGACGTATTTTCATAGTATCTTGCCATTGTTTCAGATTTTTCGATTTTTTTTTATGGAATGATTATTAGTAACAGACTTCGATGATCACCACAAAACCATACTCGTTTCGGCAAAATTCCCTGTCATTAAAAAAATAGTATCGTCCGTAATTTTGTAAACAACGTGTCCACAGATTATATGACAACTATCGGGTTACATAAATATCTATTTGGGTCAATATATTAATTTATAGAAGGCCCACCACTACGGACGAGGGACAATGTGTTTGTGATTGTAGTCACGTAGTAAAATTCATTAATAACGCGATGCAAAAGGTGCTGTATTTATTCAAAACAATAAGTACTAGAAATCCGTGGAAGGGCAGGAAATATGCAACACTTAGACTAAGACCCATAAAATAATAATTATTAAATAAATAGTTTAATACAGTTAAGAATGTATAAGAATAAAAAACTCGTACGATCCTATCACTAAGTTAAAATCGACAGAAAATATACATAACATACCAATTTGCCGGAGGCACTTTATATTTGTTTTTATTCCAATATTATACACTGTTGAAAACCAGTTGCAATCACCTGTAGGACCTCAGTGACCTATTTTAAATTGTAGATGATCGACTGAACCGCAAAACACATGTTATCATTCATATTTCAGGTGTTTTTGATAAAATTTTGATATCAACTTGACAGATAATTCCAGACTAAAATAACATAGAGCAGGAATAGGACGGAGAGAACATAGACTATAGACTCTTTGCTTAAAATGGCGTTTAGTGCAGCAGCGGAAATGGTATATGAAATTATATAATTTTGGATCTATATAAAACTAATATTCATAGAAGTCAGAGATTTAATTAAATTTATTTAAATTATATTTTATTACACAATAATTTTAACACTATTCTTAGAAATCTAAATTGAAGAAGATCTTACCGGAAACCACGCCGTATTTGACGTCTGGCGTCAAATTTTGAACATTACATTATCATAAAAATATATTTTTATCACAAATTGAAAATAAAATGAATGCTTATAAAGATTATATACAGAATTTGCGAAATTTAACTATGAAGGACGCGTGTCTTCTTTTCAATACAGATATAACTCCAAATCTAAAGCAGTATGTTTATTTGCTCGACAATGTTAAATTTGACGACGAATCCCATCACGTGTTCTACGGTGAAGTAAAGAAAATTATTACCAGCTTCTTGTATTATTATACGGTGACAATGGATGATATAATTATAGAAACTGATCAATATTCGCATATTACTGATAGGAATGAACTCCTATGTTTGATGGATAAAACTATAGCTGTACATCATATCCACCAAATATCTTTCGGAAAAGATTTTTTACCGGTCCAGTCGCCATTCGAAAAGCAAACGTATGACGAAATACAAGTAAAGTACAAGAAATTTACTGAAGAACTTTACTTGCTTAAAAAGAATATAGAAAATCTAGATAAAAAAGAAAAAATAGAAAATTTTGCTATGAAACATTTCAAAATTGCTCTTATAAATACGAGTAATGTTTTTAAGTATACGCACAATTATATTTCGTTGATGTTAGCAGATCGAGTAAGTACACACACAAAGACAAAGTGTTTTCGATTTTTTTTTCATGGTATGGTTATGAATAACAGACATCGATAGTTAATTGGTTATGGTTAATTTTCGGCAAAATTCCCTGTCATTAAAAAATACTGTCGTCCGTAGTTTTGAAACCATGTCTCCACAAATTATATGACAACTATCGGATTACATAAATATTTATTTGGGACAATATATTAATTTCAAAAAGGTACAAAGTTGTTTGCGTGAGTACCTTTGTCTCACGTATTTCAGCCGCTAAGCAGCTCGCTTTGTAAGCTGTGTTCCAATTTAAAGGGCATGCTGATTCATGGAGTTATATTAGTTGTTATGTAGGAAAGACCATTGATTACAAAAGTGATCATGTACTAGGAGCACAAATATGATCGTGTACCCACTAGGATGATATATTTTGTGATATCCATGATGCTCTTCATATCTATGGTAGACGGTTTGCATTTTTTCATCAGGTCAACTGTTTGCTATTGTATCTACATAAAAATAAAAATAAGTAGCTAAATGTAAATATTCTACCCAAGTATTAGTAACAGAAGTAGTAATAGAAGTTCTACCCAAACTATAACCCCTAGCTCCAAGCATTCTTTAATTTTAGATTATTTTTTAATAATTTATTAATTAAAAAGATATGTTTCGTATTAGAATGTTAATAGAATTGAAATAATTATCTCTTACCTTTAAAAAAATTGGTAATATATAATGAATACAACCCCGTACTCTTCATGTCACTTGTGAATAGATATTTTCTGGGTAAACGCACTACATCTTAGATTTCGCCATCATTTTCCACTGGATAAGGTAAGACCAAATCCATTTATAATAGTAAAAAAATGTTTTCAATCCAGCTACGAGATATCCAAGTAAGCTTAGAGGAGATATTACTGCGTTTGCGCAATAATCTTCGGAGCTTGGAGAATAAACGTAGTGAGAAAGTAAACCTGTTGCTGAACCAGCTCTATGACAAGAATAAGGAACAGCTACAAATCACAAGACAGCATAGGAAGTGCTCGATAGAGTATGCTGAAGTAATTATTTAGTAATAAGACAATACTTTTTATTTTGAAATATTTGCTAACACAGTATACCTTGTGTTATGGGTACTAATATATATCCTATTGCTTTTATATAACAAATGTTTGTGCTCTTAATTTGTATTATTTTTACGAATCTATTATTATACGCTAACTTGGGTGTGTATGGATGTAAGTTTTATAAGGCGATTTTATTCATCTGTGTGTCCCACATAGTCACTGGTACAAAGCTATGTTTATATGTACTTAGAACATATAAAATTTATAATACATACTATTTCCAATACTTATTCTGTCCATTATCAAGAATACACTAGTAACATATTTGTTCAAAGCCTGAGGTCTGAGAAAATAAACTGCAATTTACTTATTTAAAAATTGTATTAAATTCAAATTGTTATGTTCATATCTCCATTTTGAAGGTGAATAGAGCTATTAATGTAATACATGAAAAGATTGAAGATTGTAAATATGACGTACCAATATCCAAATTGCGTGAAGAGGTACAATACTGGGAGGAGAGAGTAAAGGAATTTCACAAAATTGCCGACGGTCTATGGAAACTGAACGCTGAACGAGCTGAACTGATAAAACAGGAAGAAATCTACAAATCTATGCAGTAATGTAGTTTTTATAAGTTGATTTCTATAATAATTTAGAAAAAGAAGAAAGTAATTGAGAGTTGTTATACGAGAATAATTGTTAATACTTAATGTAAAATTTCTAGCACCTGGCGACAGGCCGCGGCCTAGTATAATTGCTGTATGAATCTCATTTTTTTTAATATAATACGCTGCGTTACTAGCTGTTAATTCAACTTTCCAAAGATGCCAGAATAAAAAAATAGTTATTTGGTTTTTAAAGTATCTATCCCAAACAAATAGTCAAATCTTGTCTCTTTCTAATTTACCTTGTCAAACTCCACACAGTCCTGGTATGGTGGTTAAGTAAAAGAAAAAAAATATCTTTATTTTATAAGTTTGATAACACATACAGTGTTTAATTCCTGATAAATTTCTTATTTGCATATCTGGTTGCATCATAGCCTTGTCATCTTCGACATTCTATTGGTACCTCACCAGCGTATATCATTATTACATATATATGGAATTACGATTTTATCATCGTCTACATTAATGCCATATCAAGCAATAGCCCAAAAACCAAATTTGCCTAAGTAATATCGTGACACCTCGCATTTTTTCAGAACTACAGAGTTGCCCGGATCGAAATTGCAGTGTTGGGAAAATATGGGCGAGAATTTCAAGGAAAAGAAGGAAGAAATAAAACAGGCAATAAACGACGCAGCTAAAACACTGATAACCTTTTTTTGCGTTAAAGGTTTGGTGTTTCTTTTTCGGCTTGCCTAAACAGTTTATTAGAATGTTTTATATGTCATTCATTCTGGTATGATCGACGATCTGCATGTTTATTATCAGTTGTGATAAAGGGAAGATATTCTCTATTTCTTGATATTTTGGTCGCTTGTTAGCCATTTTGGCACTTCGCCCCTATTCTAATCAGCATCTAATTTACCTGAACTCTCCTTCGAACCCCTTTCGATGCTTTAAGACTTAACTCATATCTGTCAGACAGGAATTGGCCTACATCCGTTTCATAAGTCCTTCTGCAAGTTGGTAGTGTCTTCTGCACTCGTCTCCATTTTTCTTCTGGTGAAATTGTAAAGGCATTAATGGCATTAGATTAATTGGAATAAAATTACATGGAAAAAAGTAAAGACGTTTTTTATTTTCAGGTAGTGATCGCATCTTTTATATGGATGACTTGGGACCTTACTATTTGGATGAGTATAACCATCAAGTTTACTTCTTCGATTACGGCATGAGCATCTATCACTTGAACTGCCAGGGAGATTTTAAAGAAGTAAGTTATAGATTAAATTTTTTTAGACAACTTAGAACGATTGATTTTATTCGGTTTTCTGTGCCTGCTCTGTAAGAGTCCCGATGTGATGCGAAAATATCCGACACCGACTTCTTCGAACATTATTATGATATTCATAGTAATGTATTAAATAATAAAAATAGTTATATATTAAATGTATGTTGCTTATTTAGACAATAGTTTCCCTATTGAATAGTTTGTAGAAACTTCAGATGAGAATATTTTCTTGTCTACACTTTTTAGGGCGTAATTTTTCAGTAGTATATTTTGAACTTGTAGGCATAAATATTTTTGCGCATTGTTGGGCGCTGGTATTATTTGTTGACGAAAAAATCCTGAATCTTTTATTACAATTACAACTTGGTAATAATTTACCTATTTAGATTTCTGATAAAGAGAAATACCGCTTCGACGAAAACGGACGTTACGTGGAAGACGAAAGTGGTCAGAAGGTATATCGCTGTGCTCCGTGCACAAGCACTTATCGACTGTCCGAGGATGGACTTCTGACTAAGGTGACGAAGGACTGCGGCCACTCCGAAATGGTTAATAAGAAGTGCCGGCTGAGGATCAAGGACCCCACTGATGTGGAAATATTGCCAACGCAGGATAATATGAATATAAAGGGTGAGGCATGAGAATATTCATAAATAGGATACAATATAGGTGAACACTATTATTTTAGGTAGACCAAGTACAAAGTTGTCTGCGTGGGCACCTCTGTGTCACCTGTGTCATCTGTGTTACACACGCCATACAGCTTCCTTTGGAAACTGTTTCTGTTTATATTAGGCACGTGGTTGTGGAATAAAAGTTATATCCATCACATTTAAAAAATATAACAGATATGGCTTACATGCAACTCTGATGAAATCAAGAGTACATTGTTTTCCTGCTGTATATCCACTGAATGTTTCCATCAGTCTAAGAGTATGAAACCTTAGTTGACAGCCTCAATGGTCTAGGAGTTCAGCACACCGCCGATAATTAACGTACCGTGAGAGGAATTGAATCCGCGACAATCGTACGGCGTTTGGCTAAACTATTAAACCACTGAGGCCGTCAATATATATAGTACATATTATTTATTAACTTAATTGCTTAAAATAAAGGAAAATTAGACCCAGAGGTGGTAGAATACCTGTGGAACAGTTTGGGGCATGTGTTGCCAGATGCGTTGCACGACGTGGCTCGCGATCACACCAGAAACCCCATACAACACCTCGCTCACAAGCTGCTCCTTTATAAGTATGTCTATTATTTTTTAATTCAAATTCTATATCATTTAGTCTCATAGGAATCTTTCGGCCATGTATATTAATTTTTATTCAATTTGAATAGCATTTATTTACATAGGAATCTTTCAGCCAGTTTATGTATAGACATACACAAGTGGCCGAAAGATTCCTGTGTGACTAAATGATAAAAATAGTTTTATCGTAATACTTACTGAACGGCATTTTGGCTAGTTACTGTAGTTTAAAAGATGGTAGGTATATTAATTCAACAAGTCTGGTCAAATCAAACTGAACTGGTATATTAGTTTCATGTTTTTTTATTTAAATAAGTTTCGCACCAAAACAAACAGAGCAGCAAATACAAAATTATCATAATATATAAAAATTTCATGTAACTTACATATTTGTCCATAATGGAATCCTAAACTACTGAACTGATTTTAAAGAAATTTTATGTGTACTCAGTAGGTCTGAGAATGCTCATTTTATCATCCTCTACTGGTGCCTCCCCAGTATACCGTTAGCTTAGGCGGGTGCGCCATTCTATTATCATTAATATATATCATCATCATCATCATCGCAGCCCGGAAGACGTCCACTGCTAGACATAGCCCTCCCCCAAAGATCTTCACGACGATCGGTCTGCTCGCTGCTCGCATCCGATGCCTGCCAGCGATCTTGACCAGATCGTCTGTCCAACTCCCCTTATTAATATGTATATATATAGAGGTATATTTAATTTTAATCATTTACATATCAGATACAATCGGACACGTATGGAACTACACGAGAAAATGAAAGAAGCAAAAAATTACCGCGCCAATGTTTATAAGGAACGGAATGAGGTGAGTTTTTATTTTCAATTTGTGTTATAATCTTAACTGCCCTTTTAACAAATTCTATTTTTGCTTGCCAAATAGCTTATTTTATAGGCTGTTTCAGTTTGAACGTATTAACTAACATTTAATTTCTTTATCGCTTAATTGTAAAGTCTTTACTTGGAACCGTATGGAGGACGCGCATATTGCTAGCAATAGTGTCAACAGTCCACGTTACTAACAATCCTGTATATTCCACTTACACAAGTTAATCAACTTTTTAATTTTATTTGAAAATTGTTATATTTTAAGATATTCGTATATATTTACCTTTATTTTCTTTAGAACTGCGATTATTGGACAGGGATATAACATAGTACTTACAGGACAAATAAAAGTTGATTGACCCAAGTATTAAGTACAGGTACATAAATAATACGTCTCCGCAGAAAGCATCTAAAGCTAGTCAGGCATGGATGAGGAAGCAGGTGAAGCGACGGAAGCCAGAGGAATCAGACGATACTCAGGATAGGTTCGTCTTCGAAGCTCAGATGGCTGCTCAGGATTTCATCAACTATCTCAATTATTTTAACAACTAATGAACACAATCAGAAGCCCATTTTAAAATATAGGTGTAAAATTTCTGGTTTGTTATTAGACCTCCGGGTTTAGGGGTTTAGCACACCGCCTTACTACAGATAGTCGTGGGTTCGATTCCTCACACGGTACAAACATTTGTATTCATGTATATGATTGTTTGTGTCGGTCTGGAAGTTTTCTATGTATATAATATATATGTATGTATGTAGTTTTATCAATTGTCTAGTACTCATTACACAAGCTCTACTAAACTAGGACCTATATGGCGCTGTGTGAACTTGTCTAGTGATATTATATTGTTGTCTTTTTAGATTTCATTTGAAGTATATTGGTTACTAAATGTAGAAAAAAATACTTACGTTTTGACTTTAATTTCCTTTTATTATTCAGCTTTAAACTACTGATACTATACTTCTCAACAGATTATATGATATTTAAATAATATAAACACATAATAATAGAGATATATTCTTACGACTGTAAACTCGAAGGACTGTAATCAGAAGTATTTAAACTGTCTATTAACTTAACATGGAATGAACTGGGTCATCCACACTAATAAATATAGTATTATTTAGTTGCTGTTTGCGTATTTAATATTTTGACTCTAATGAATTTGTGCTATTTGGTATGTTATTTTATTTGTTATTTTTATCCTTATTTAAAAACGTAAAGTTAGATACACTTGTTTAAAAGAGCAACATGCAAATTTCTTAGTGGTTCTTCTCGTGACCACTGCTTGTACCACTCATTCGGAGACGAACGAGTGGTAGATTAAAAAATAAACAATACTTTCTACATGAAATTAAATGAAAAAGAATTTGATTAATAAATTTTCTATTCTATTCTATATTCCATTGGTAGTATATAATTCATGAGTACAAAATTATGTAAAACGTCGTCATTCGATAGAAAGTAACTACCAGAGTAGACCAGCTGGACCTCATTATATGTGTAAAGGTTACGAATTGTTTAATGGACGAAACCAATTGAGAAATAAAATAAACAGTGATAAGGTACAGGTATTTATTGTTCATTAAGCGTCTACTAGATTATAACGAGACACACTTCGTAAGACAACGCCGATTGACAGCAAAATAAAAAAAAACAACCTACTTATCGCCAAGGATGGACCAAATTCCAATTCAAAACCCAATGCCAGTAATATTTGGTTCAATTCGAATAACAGAACTATCTAAACTAAATATAACCTATATATTATAGCACTATGAAACATTGTAGAATTCTTGTATGAGAGCACATAATTATTAAAAAAAAATATATATTCATAAAAATCAATCGATAGTTTGTACACGACAATGGGCTGGATAGGGATGTGATGATGATAGGGATCTGTTACATATGCTTAATGTCCAGGAACCCAGCGCCGCTAAACGTCATTCATTCTACTAGTGCTCGTATGCACTATGATCAATATTTTCTTTGATTAGCAAATATGTTGACGGGCCACATGTTAGTAAGTGATAACCGTCGCGTCGCCTATATACATCATAAATAGCATACGAACATTGCACACTTTATGATATAACGTCCGTGAATACTATTCATTCCATTCCGAATGACAGAAATATTAAGACTGAAAATAATGAAATTTCCCTACCTCATCTCGCCCTTTAATCGAAATACAGCTTATAAAGCGAAATGTTTTGCGGTTGAAGTAGTTGAGACTGAAATCACAGACCTCTTTTTACAAAGTCTGTAGATGTAGTATATGATCATAGTAAATATTATCACTAGTCAATGTTCCATATTTCGATCATTAGTAAATAAATGACGTCTGACGGCCCTGATATCTTCCTCTATATTTGAATTAAAATAAAGAAGTTAACATACAAATGGAGCTTGCTACCTAAACAAATGTGTCCATATTGAAATTTATGTTTCAACTGTTACGCTTAGCGTTAGTGAGATAGAAGACGGCATATTGTTTATTTCTATTAGGTATATTCTTTCCAAATGAGATATGAGCGAGATGCAAGACACGAAGCGTTAAAAAATCTAATAAATTTGCCTCAATTCTGTTCACGGTGCTTCCATCATTTGTATAAAAACTTCTAGAACAACTATAATCTTATTAGTCGACAAATATCAGCGCAATTCCTGTGATTATTTAATGTAATTTAAGGTTATTGAAACAAAACAGAGAGCTAAATTGGACCTTATGATAACAGCCACAAGTCACATGGATTTTAAGGAAATTTTCATTTTCTACATAATGTACAATTTACCATCATAATATTACTTATGTATTCTCGATCAAAGGACACATGCCCAGGATTTTTATAACAGCGTAGAAATATTGGGAACTCATAAATAATGTAATTATGGTAAAAATAGTTTAAAACAGTGTTACAAGAGTTTGCCTATTTCTTTAGCTCAGTTTTATGAATGTAACCAAAAATGTTTATTACTAAAGTTTGATTATTTCTAGAGTAACTCAACTAGTTAAGTTATTACACGGTATTTGGATGTAAAGGTGACTGAATACATGCTCATTAGTCGCATAAATATGAACAAATGCTGTAATCGAAAGTAGAGAATATTGATTTAAACATATTTAGCTACTCAATAAAACTACGAAACTATTGTGAGCTACAGTAAAAGTGTTTGTTTTTGCTCTACATATATATAAGCAAATACAAACCCTCTTAGTTCATAAAAACTGAATATAAGTACATTTTACTATTGCGAGTCTTTTTTCACTTTCTTTCTGGATGGAGAAAACAATTTGCAAGAAAGAGACGAAAGAGTTCAATAGCTAAAATGTGTAATATACAATTTTTATGAATGATTTATTTATTCATTACTTTATATAACAATATAATGAGCATGTATTGAAACCTAGTTATGTTAGCATAGATAAAGAACCATTGCTCTGAATCCTTTCCCTACTGCACCCATTGAATCGCGCCACTATACAGGTCAAAGGTTCAAGCCCTTATGTCGCTCCATCAACAGGGTCTTAAGTTCTTATCTTACCTGTGTAACAGGGCTATAAAGATCTATGAATACAATATTTTCCCAAGTTACACTAACATGAATTCGAACAGGTACAAAAGTATTTCCCATTACTTACTGTCTTCTATTTACCTCTCTATTCAAAAGAGAGATAAATTACAACATAAATCATTTATTTTTGGTAATTTTTTCTATGAGTCGGACCAAGACCACACGTGCACTCTAATATTATTGAAACCGAAAAAAATAATTTTATAACACATTTTAAGATTTAAATTAAACGCGGAGGATTAAATTAAAATTAATTCCATATTCTGTATTTTGTTCCTAACATCTTAAAATATCAAATATATCTTTAACTACTGTACTGTTTGTAGACAGTTAACATAGCAATATTACATACATTAGTATTTCTAAGTACGAAAAAAATTATATACGAATTTCAAATAGGAAAAATGAAAAAATAAATCGTTGACAACAGTAATCCAACGCGTTGTTAAATTTAGAAACGCATGGTTCACATCGAAAGTGAGAACAAAATAAAAAAAAAATGTTAATTCCCGCAAAATATCCAAATTCCCTATTAAGACAAATATTTAAACTAAATACAAATAAAAATGAAGTTTTAACTAATATGACTGCAAATTTTATAGTCACTATTTGATAGCATAAAATACCGTATGTACAAAAAAAAATAGTAATATTAATTGAGAACTCTTTTATGCTATACTCAATTCAATTATAATTTTCGACTCAGCCTTAGAAATAAAAATTAAACTTGTTTTACTTGTGTGTAATTTTAATTTTATGTACACAATCAATTCTCTCTGCCCGTCCTGTGAAGGAAGATGGCGTGAAGAGAATCACACTAAATGTTCGTCTTGATTTGCGACATCTTCGCGTTATTTGCGCTACGTATTTTGTTTTAAACTTGTTGATATGTTCACTATATGATATAAATATTGTAATTTTTCTAAACATGTTTGTTTCACAACAAATGCGGCATTAGTTTATCCGCGACCAAGTATACGAAATGTCATGTTAATACTCGATTAACATGATATTTCGTATATATACCATATAATGAAGATGTCATAATAAATGTAAAACAAAACCCGTGCAAAACATTAGACACCAATCAAATTGCACACGAGTAAAAACCTTTTTAATATTCTATTTCCACGTCTGTAACTCTTCAAAACCTAAGAAGTATATCTCAGGCTAATCAATATTGAGGAGACAACAGAAAGAACACATTGTTTTTATTTATAAAAAAAAATCCACAAAGTAACCGCAAACTGGCCGTTATGAAGCCTACACTATAAAATTTATACGGCACAAAACAAATAGGTATTGTATCATAATAACTATATATATGTAGCCGATTTTATTAATATTACATGTTACTCCAATCTCTATATTACACATCTAATATTATGACATACACGACAAAATTATATCTAAACTACAAAACAAAATGGAAAATGTTACCAAATGATAAACCCGTTTAATTCTATACAAATGTTACTTTAAACGTTCGTTGTCAACGACATCAACAAACTACATTTGGGGGTTTTCTTCATAACATTTATTTAACGACATTCCTGATATATAATGTCGTTCTTGATGTCATTATAATATATTATGATTGCTTTACGCTTTTATATATGTTTATTATTACACGTGTACAGCTGCGGTAACATGACAACATACAGCTGTCGTTGATGTCGTCAACAATAAACTACTATCCCTTTTATTCATAAAAAGCAAAACCTACAAATCCATTGTTTTGTCGCTTTTTCTCAAATGAACAATGCAGTTCATTAGACAAGGACAAAATAGTACAATGGATATATTAGTAGGACATTTAAAGTTTCTTATGAATAAGAGGGTATATGTATACTATTTTAATGATAGGACAGTACTTGTTAGTTTCTACAACGATAGAAAGGAAATGGAAATTTGTGCCACACATCAACATTTACAATTACGATTTATAAATTGGTAAAAACAAACAATCCCGTTGTGGAACGTCATAGTTTACTCTAACGGTGAAACAAAACAATTTGTCTATGACTCAAAGGAAACCTCACCCGACCACGGCAGCAGCTAAAATAGTACATTACACACGGCACATACTTGAAACATCTCCTAAGAGGGGCCTCCTCACTAAGACGATAACATTCCTAGTACGGATAGCCTCTTAAGCTCCGGCCATGTTTAGATTACCGCATCTCTATGGTCTACCATAGACACACACTACAATTATAGACTATTTTATTTTATGGTCATGGTCATAGCAGATTTTTATACAAAGCCGGCGATGATTTAAAATTAATGACAATCAACATAGACGAAGTGGTAGTTGCAACACAATTATCAAATAAAATTACAAGTACATCACCTCGTCGTTTCGCGACTATTTTTATGTACAAAAAATAGAGACAGTGTTGCCATCTTTTATAACAATTTAAAGTAATGTAACTGCAATTCCATTCGATTTGTACTACGAAAACGTATTCCGCTAGGTGAAACCAAATCGTACACTATTACTGGCCGAATATTTATCAATTTTCATCGTTTTTTAAAATAAAATTGCAATGTACATAGTAATAATAGTTATGTATTATATACTTAATATTTAATCAAATATAAAGGCGAAAACCTTTAATATCGAAAGTTAAACATATTTCAAAAACGTTTTATCAACAAACAACACTATGATATGATATTTTTTAAATTACAGTTGACAAAAAGTATATTTAGGTGGCAACACAACGAATTTAACGTCACTGTGACCATTACGGACATTTTAATTTGATCCTTACCGGCTCACAATAGTGTTCGATTCGGTCCAGCAATGCGAGACATTCAGTTGGCTCCGAAAGCGTCCGCAATTTCTGCTTGACAGCCGAACGTCTCCGAGCTGTCCGCGTGCTCCGGGTAGAACTCCCTGTATATTTTATCCAGCAGCGCTTGCCTGCAATGTAATAAGTAATCATCTGAACAATGTAGCCATTTATATTGATATTATAGGCATACACATCGAAGCAACGTACCCAAGATACTGGCAGCATTGCCTCTTTGAATGTCCATACTTAGGTTAAGGGCAAAGTAGCTAAAGTCGCGCTAAAATACTCATCAAAATCAATTTAGCTTCCGAGCTCCATGAGCCCGTGTCCACGGCAAACATTATTTATAGTACAAGGTGAGCAAACAATTGTGGTTAAGCGTAGTAAAAAGTTTCTGGAGAAACACACGATGGAGGATCGCCATTCATCCAGATGATCAGGAGGGTATTTTAGTTTATGACGGGTAGTGCGACGGTTAAATTCAGCAACTGGTTATAATACTGGGTTACAAACAATTCCTAAGAACACTCTTCGTAATATATGCGGTAGAAAATGCAGAGATCCAATGTCCCGCCACAAAGCCAATGGGATCTAGCCTTTCACAAAGACGTTGATTACTAATCATTCTGGCTGCTCGGTTCTGAATGCGGTCAAATAGAAGTAACTGGTATTATGGTGCTCCAGCGCAGAAATGAGGCCTGAAAGGGACCTTGTATAATAACTAACACCGCATACCTTTTTATAGTACTTCCAATGGCTATTACTAAGAAAAAAAGAGTTTAATGATTGTTTGCTAAAGATAATACGGTTTCAATTACAAGATTTCAATATCAATTTTCTGCCAAGAAATTCAAGTGATTCAAAATATAATTAGGGATTCTAAATTAGTTATGAAGAATTCATATCTGTTCGTCAATACCAGAAAATAGCTCAGCTATTTTAGGTATAAGTATAATTTTATAAAAATCTAGGAAGTCACCAAAACATTCGGGTAACTTAGAGTTATACAAATAAAAAAAAAAGATTTAAAAAAAAATGTTAAATAGGGCATAATTTTGTAGAATCAGCGGACGACTTCGCTTGGAAACAATCTTTATACGTAGTGAGAGGGATTGAGTTCTCGTACATACGTATCAAATAGCTTTGGAAGCAACAGAGTATTGTGTTCCTTGGAATCAACTAAAGACATTAATTGTTCGCATCACATACTTTTCACGTAGGACAAAGGGCCTCGCAAAGCCCTAAGCTTCGCAATGGGTAAGGCCGGCACTGCCCACGCAAACAAATTTTACAAAGTGTACCTCCGTCATTCACTTAAAGGCGGAGTAATATAGAATTAGGGAACGGTATACTGACTTGGCAGCGAGACCCCCGCCCGGCGGGAGACCGGGTATATTCTCTTGCATGAGTTGCTTCAGCACCCACGAGAAGTGACTCGAGGTGTCCTCGCGCTCGTCATTGCCCGCAGTCCTCTCGATCAGCGCTGTAACACAAAACAGGTTTCTTATAAGAGGCCATCTCTAGAATTCAACTTCTGTAATTTTTTGTGACGGGACTTTCAGTCGCAGACAGCTAATGGAAGAAGAGAGGAAAAGGGATAACTTAGACTACTTTTATTTTAGAAATTGATTTTATTTAATTCTATAAGTCATCATAATGCATAGTCAATCTTTATCTCCTTCTTTCCAATAATTTACAAATATGGATTATATTTTTGTACATGGATATAATACATTGTTTGCAATGTACCATGCGGGTTTCCCCTACAAACTACCGTAGCTAATTTGTCAATGATGAGCTAACTAAGTAATGTAGTACTGAATAATGAGCTAATTGACCTGACCTCATATTTATCTTATAAACATATATATCTTCAACTGGCGCCAAGAGCGCCAACGGTATATGTTAGCGCCGGCGGCTGTACCAATCCCTATTCATTTACTAAAAAATACTTATATATTTGATGGGAAAATTTAGGCAGTATATGACAGAGCGATGTTTGTGGCTGTCACTTACTTACGAGAGAAGTATATATAAAATTCTCGTGTATAATGTTAGTTACCATACACCTCCAAAACGGCTTGACCAAACTTATGAAATTTTATATGCATATTCAGTAGATCTGAGAGTCTGCTACTATTTTTCATACCCCTAAATGATAAGGGTTGTCCACCCCTAATATTTTTTGGTTATTTTTGGACAAATATTTCTTTTTTTATTTATAATGTGCCATTGCAAAATACCTACAACCCTAAATTTTCACCCTTCTATCACCAATCCCTACTTTTTAATAGCAATATTAGTACCTATATGGCAAAAGAATATTTGCCAGCAGCTAGTATATATGATATAACATCGAGGTAGGTAGGTGGAAGAGAATTGTTAGTACTCAGGTATGGCATACCTTGAGAAATTGTTGAGTTAAATTAATCCTTAGTGCTGTTTTTTTTTAAATGTAAATGTTAAACAATAATATTGTCCTTGTAATGTTAAACTTTCAGAGGGAGGGGACACCCTCAACATAGTGATGCAAATCGGCACGTACGATAGTAGATTGTGCCAGTGTACGTTTTATCTAACACGTAGGTAACGTAGTTGTTAATATATATAGTTTACTAGCTGTCCCGGTAAACGTTTATGCCTTAAAATAAAAATAAAAAATAGGGGTGGACTACCCCTAACATTTAGGGGGATGAAAAATAGATGTTGGCCGATTCTCAGACCTACTCAATACGCTCACAAAATTTCATGAGAATCGGTCAAGCCGTTTCGGAGGAGTATGGTAACAAAAACTGTGACACGAGAATTTTATGAGATGTAATTAGTCTAAGGTATAGTAATTCAAGATGTAACAGTTAATACACAAGTTACACCCTACTGTGTGTGTTTACTCTCACCACCGCTCCTGTCATCACAATGTACTAATAACACCATTGCACCAATTCATGGTGAATTTACCACGTGTTACAATTTGCTCGTCCTATCATCCTCCACTGGTGCCCCGCCAGCGTAAACCGTTAGCGCAGACGGGAATAAGATAAGAAAAAACTTGCCGTAAATGACAGGGCGGTGTCTGCGGGTGCCACTCACGGCTTCAATATATATATGTATGATATTACATCGAGGTAGGTATAGCGGCAAGGTCGTGACGAGTTCGAAGGTCATATTGTATCAGTGACGTTTAGGACTGATACATGATTATTACAACACGTTATCGGTAGGTCATCTGTAATCATTCTATATAACTAGCTTTGCCTGCGGTTTCACCGTGAACTTTATAGGCTACTAGCTGTACCTTGACCAAATAAAGAAAAGTATTCACTAATCTAACCCAAGGCAATACGAAAATATTTTCATCGTTCTAACTTCAAAAATTACGAGTTTACATACAAAATTCAAAATATCTTTATTCATGTAGATCCATTACAAACTCTTATGATATGTCAAATCTACCGTCAGTTCGGAATGATTTCGAGATAAGAAGAATTGAAATACAAATTTTTATCCCCTATTTTATATTACCCCCTTAAGGGACCCATTAAGTTTCAAGTTACTATCTTTAAAAATTCCTTTACTCCAATACAACCCTTCATCTCACTTTTCAACCCCTTATAACCCTTTTTCTTTATTTATATTCAAACAATAGCCTAAAATATTCAAGCTATAATGTTCAAGCTTCTAGCTTTAAAAATGACAATAATTCCATATAAACTTTTATCTCCCCTTCAGCTACTTTTTAATGGGAAAAAATAGTTGTAAGGGGTTGCCCCCTTGCAGCTCTTTTTCCCATTAAAAAGTAGCTGTCCTTTCCCAGGATTATCTGTGTACCAAAAGTTCAATAAAATCGGTTCAGTAGTTTTGGCGTCAAAGCACGACAGACAGACAGAGTTACCTTCGAATTACTAATATATTAAGGATTGTGTGAGCATCTGTATGACGCACAGGAAGCAAGCGTCGCGGTCTCGGCTCGTGTCGAGTTACAAACTGTGCCTTTACACGGAAAGAACATAATAACTAATTAATACTACCAGTTCATATTCCGTGGGAAGATCTAATATTTCAAGATAAAGAATATCATAACAATAGAATATTATAAATGCGGAAGTTTGTAAGTATGTATGTAAATACATACATAATATACATAGAAAGCACGCAGACCGATACTAACAATCACACGTTAATGTCTGTTACTCTTTCACGCAAAAACTACTGAACAGATTTATATGACTTCACAGTAATATAGCTTATCAGAATAACACATACGCAAAGTTCATGCGAGTGAAATCACGGGCAAAACTAGTCTTACATAAAACTAGCTGACACGCGCAACTCCGTCTGCATCGCACTGGACAGTTATCATTATGTTTTGCCCAATTTACGCAATATCTTTTAAATTATAGACTGTGTTATTCTGATGTCTGAAGCTATATTCATGTAAAGTTTCATCAAAATCCGTTTAGTATTTTTTTGCGTGAAAGAGCAATAAACATCCATCCAGCCATCCATACTCACATACCTTCGCGTTTATAATATTAGTAAGCTTCTCGTGTCACAGAGTTAGCTGCCATCCCTCCCCGAAATGGATTAAACGATTTTAATGAAATTTTAAATGTATACTCGATACTTATGAAATTAGGTTGTTACCTACTTTTTATACCCCTAAGTGATAAGGGTGGCAAGGCCCACCACAAAAGATATTATTTTTTGACAATTTTTTTTATTATGTTGCATTATAAAATATATACACACCTAAATTTATATCTTTCTACCACCAACTATTACTTTTTAATAGAAATATTAATTTATACAGCAAAATAACGTTTGCCGGGTCATCTAGCATATAAAACTCTGATGTAAGTCGCATTCGGACAACCTTATAACCTTATAACGATCAGCAACATAAAATAAGTATATTTAACTACTTTCACCCAAACAAACCAAGGATTGCTTTGCAAGAGAATAAAAAAAAAGTGATTAATACACCATTAAGTGAATCTCTAGAGATTAATATTGACACACACGTATAAACTACATATTTTTAAATGTAATGAGGTTCAGGCCATCGTAATTTATAGGATCGAAATTACGACGGCCTGAGCCGAGGTTCGAACCCCTAGCGGTGCCCTCAGACTAAAATCGTATCCATCAGGCGGGAGTTGGCCTTCTGCCGCTCCATAAGTCTATCCGCGGGTTTGGAGTGCCATCTGCACTTGCCCCTATCGTCCGGTGAAGCTGTAAAGGCCAGCTGCGGCCAACAGCATTAGAGTAGTCCGAAAAAAAACTGGAATGGAAAACATGCCGGTGGCTCACCTGATAGTAAGTGGCACCTATCGGCTATATGCATGAACAGCACAGCCATTACGTCTTCCTATAACGTCAGTAGTAACTCTCATGCGTTGCCACTCCGGAGTACTAAGGTAACATACCTCCTTACCCTGTAATTTGTCTGCCATATCTCACCGTCTAACCGAAATACATCTTACAAAGCAAACTGATTGACTGAATAGGATTGATGAAATAGGCGAAGCCGGGGGGAAAGAGGATTGTTATTAATTTGGACTGATGATCTCATTGCTAGCATTGTACCTTGTCAGATTGACCTCCACGCGGTTCCCCCTGGAAATTATCGTGATAAATTACTGGTGAATTTGTCACGATGGGCTAACTGACCTGACCTCATGCTCATCTTATCATCCTTCACTGGTGCGCCGCCAGCGTAAACCTTAGCGCAGGCGGGTGCATCATTCCACTATCATCCATTAAAAAAAAGTAGGCGAAGCCTACAGAATCGCCTTTTTTGCGCCCCGACTTCGCACACCAGTATGTATATTATACATATAAAACTTCCTCTTGAATCAGTCTGTGTTGCTAAAAACTGCATTAAAATCGGTTGCATAGTTTTAAAGATCTAAACGAACAGACAGCGGAAGCGACTTCATTTTATACCACGGAATGTATATAACATATTATAGATTCAGTAACTGATTCTGAACTGGTTTAAGATTTTGCTATACTTCTGTTATGATATACCTACGTAGCTACAATATTTTTTCCTCGCCCGTTATCTGCTAACCCAATTAATGCTTTAAATACAATCTTAGTGTAGGCATGTAAATACAATTCAATATAATTGATAAACATACCTATTGTATAATCAAGTTACCGCTCGGCAGGCGCCATTGTTATGTTATTGTGATAGCAACTCATTAATTGTATAAACTATTCGCAGACTATAGATAAAATATATAGATAAGAAATAGGATTATTACGTTTGCATGCATGTTATATGGCTTCATATCTTATAGCGGCGACAACTCTGAATGCACGCATACATGGGCGGAAAACCGTATAGCGCGCACGTTCATTGCTTTAACCCCTTATAATAAAAAAAAAGTTTTTCTTTTTTATAACTATAGGGCAAAGGTATATCTGAGGTCCAGGACTAAAGCAATGAAACGATGCAGTTATAGTTTCAAACATAAT